TTTTTTTTTTTTTTTTTTTTTTCACTTTTTTTCCTTTTCTTTACGATCAGGAGGATGACAGCGGTAGCGGTCTGGCGAAAATGACAATTGACAACGATGACATTACTTCGATTCTCTTACACAAAAAACACAGATTTTGATCTATTATGCGATCGATAGACTTATTACGGTGTACATGTATATCAAGTATGAGTTCAAAATCTATCACGTAGTACAAAGAGAGATTGATTATGCTATTTTTAGTTTATTAACTTGTATCATATACCGAGAAATATCAAGACTACAGTTAACTATATATTTAGTGATTCGGAAATTGTGTCCAAGATCAGTTGGTTAGGCGGTAATCAATGAAAAATCAGATTATTTAAAAGTGGGGGTGGTAATAAGTATTGCTTGGGATGTGTGCCGGAGAGATTTTGTTCTTTTTTTTTTTCTTTTCTTTCTTTCTTTCTTTTTTTTTTTTTTTTCCAAACTTGTTCTTTCCTTCTTTTTCTTCCCTTAGAGTGCAGATAAAGATTTTTCTTCAGAAGAGAGAATTTCATAAAAATTCGGCGATCTGCCATTTTGCATCGCTTTCTTTCTGCTTTCCTTCAAGAAATACTTCGGGTACATATAACCTGTTTAGATTCATTAAATATTTTTACATCAACGTGACACATGAAATCAATCGCGCTATCATTAATAATTTACACCATAGTTAACAAATTTTCTTTCTTTCTTTCTTCCGTTTCTTTTATATATATACATATATGTGTGTATGTGTGTGTGTATTGTGTGTGTGTGCGTGCGCGCTCGCGTTTTGTATGTGTGTGTGTGTTCATCATACATATACATGTATATATATATATATATTTTTTTTTTCTTTATACGCCTCCTTTTTTTTTACTTTTTTTTCCTTTTTTTTTCTTTTAAATACATCTTGCATTAAAATGAATCTGAAGAAATTTTATTATGAAATTGTTTTTTTATGAGTGCGCGAATGACACTCGTGTCACCCTATTTTTTTTTTTTTTTTCTTTTTTTTAAAGATATTGAATGCTCATTCTCTGTCCTTTCGCAATGACGACAAAAAATAAAAAGAAAAAAAATGAAAAAACATTACTATCACACCCACATTCGTTTTTTGCTAACTGTCAGTGACATACATTTTTACAAAGATCATTTGTTTCTTTTCTTTTTTCCCTCTCGTCAGTAGTCCTCTACAATTTTCTCTCTCATTCGCTCTTGCTCTCGTTCTTTCTCTTTCTCAATTGTTATAACTGTCTTAAAAATAGTCACAGTTTGAAAAAAAAAAAAAAAAAAAAAGAAAAAATAAAGAAATATATATATATATAGAACAGGTACCGCCGATGGTCAAAAAAAAAATTATTCAAACTAGCGACAGAAGTTGGCTTAACTATAATATACGAAGAATCTAAAAAAAGATTCCACTTTTTTCCCCAACATTGTTGCTTTACACTACATGCTTATGCGTGTTCTCTGCGCCCTTCTCTTTCTCACTCGCGTTCATTCGTTCATTCTCTCCCTTTCCGATTATCTCTACTATCGTGGATCAACCAACTTTTTTATGATCACGAACACTTATTACTGTCCTTAGTGCCTTATAAATGTCCACTTGGTTCTTTATGTATATATAATATATATAATGTAATAATTGAAGTAATTATATTCAATTATGTGCGTCCACGTTATTATGCAGTTGCTTCAACTGATTGACATTCATTTATTATTCCTTTGTAGTACTGTTAATATCAACATAGGGTAATGCGGAAAAGAAGAAAACAGATATTGCTCCTTCCTGGGAAAAACCAATCAAAAGATCTGTTCGTTTTCTGGCATTCGGGATAAATTGTGATCATTATTTCACTTTCTCTCTCTTTGAAACCACCAAGGAAATTACGATAATTATCATTCGTATGTTATAAATGAAAGTTTAGGATGTTCGAGACGACAAAACATCGAACCCTCCGGGTAACAATCAAGACTTGCTCACTCACACGTCTATGCATATTCACAAAATGAAAGTTAAAATCCATTCATTTTCACAATAATAACAGGAAGTGTCTGTCCCATTGTTCCAAGTTTTGAGCTTCACGTTGTAAATAAAAATACCAATCTTACATAGATTGATACATTATCCTAAAAGTGTCATGAAGATATGACTTTCACAATTCATTGAAAAATCTTCATTTAGTACGTGGCAAAAGAATAGGAGTATCTTTTCTCCTCGATATTCTTTAACACAACTTTAGCAATTATTTCATTTATTTGTGTTCATTGGTCGGTTTTTAAATGCGTCTGGTTACGTCTTCCAATTATGTGGATGAGCTCGAGGTGGAGCCTGGTTACCCTGTGCCTGCGATGCTTGCGACGGAATCATATCAAGCAAATATTGACGTTGTAAATCTGCTGCTTGTCGTTGTAATTCTGCCAGGCCTTTTCCACCAGCCTGCGCCATTGCTAGTTGATAAGGATATAATATAGATGTAAATGGTGGCATCATGTGAGCTGGAAGAGGTTGATGAGGTGGTAGACCTGGTACTGGGTTTTTTGCCAGTTCTGAAATTACATTCAATTACAATCGATTACATATATTTTTCTCGCGCGATATATGAATTTTTCAACAGAAAAACATTCGAAAACCTACCTCTGAGCAATTGTTGCTGTAAAGCAGCCGCAGCAGCATGATGTGGACTGAATTTTCCACTTTCTGCCAATTTGACAAGAGGATGTTCTTGTAATTTGGGTGCTGGTGGGGTTGGCGCTAGCGTTGGTGCCGGTGGGACTTGTGGTGGAGGAGCTGGTGGTGTTGCTACTCTTCTTGTAGGAGTAGCTGCTTTAGGAACTGGTTTAGGAGCTGGTGGATCTGGACTTGGACATGCTGCTTGAGCCAACCTTTGCTCTATTTCTTGTTCTTGTTGTAGCGCTTTCACAAACGCTGTCTTTAACCTTTAAATATATGTACATCGTGTTAGTCGTCTTAATAAAATATACTGCTAACACTTTTACTTTATACATACCGATTAGTATGTTCTGCTTTGAGAGCCTTTTTAACATTGGTCGTAACGCAATGTTCGCATATGACTCGAGGATCACGACCTGCCGGAGGTCTTTGAAACGTCGCATGCTGCCCTCGTGGACCTTCTTTTTTACCGCCCGTTACAGGCTTTTCCCATTTCCACACGGGTGTGAAATCCGTTTTGCATTGAGTACACTCAAATGGTTCCGGAGGAGGTGGGATAGCGGGTTCTTTAGTGATAAAATCAACTACGTGCTCTAGACCCACCAAGTATATGAATTCCGTATTAGATGGATTTGGCACGAAGTGCATCTCCGGTGGTGGAGGTTTAGGAGGCGGTATTTGTAACAACGTCTTCTCAAGTTGTTTTCTTAAAGCCAATTTAGCAGCTGCCTGACGTTGTGCCGGTGTCTGATTATCATCCCTTGGTCTCTCCTGTGATTTTAAAAGATAAATGTTAGATGTACAAGAAAAAAAGGCTTTCAATAAATTCGTTTGTAAGTTCTCTATAAAATAAAATATTAATGTTGCAAAAAAATAAAAGAACAAAAAGAAAAGAAAAAGAGAAAGAAAGTCGAGAAAGGAAAATGGAAGTGTAAGTGGGTTAAATATAGAAACAAGAAATGACATGATGGTTAGGAAGACAAAAGGAAGTCGATACTTAGTCGGCATTTAATAAAGAATTAGATTGACAAGAAACTAAATATATATTTTGACTAAGTGGATGTACCTGTTCTGAAATCACAGGTGTGCTTAAGGATGCGGTGGTTTTATTTTCTTGAGGTCCAACAAGCAGCTTTGTGTTTACAAAAACACAATTATGGTTATTTACATAATTCACAAATAATGTAAACAAATATTTGTAAAATATTATATACATAAAGTACAATAATTTTGAATAATATTCAAATATATATATATATGTATTCAATAATGTATATGTACAATTGAATATTATATATATTTAAAGTGCATGTATATATAAAGTAAAATATATATAAATGATATTTTGTACCTTACTTACTTGATGTGCTGGAGTGGGTGTTGGATCTTTTGTAGATCTTTCAGTTCTATCCGCAGGTGCATGATAATTTGATACATTGGGCGTTGCACTAGGTGGCCTGCCTCTAGGATGAGGTGGTTGTGGTATGACCATGTTGGGTGGCATTCCAGTACTAGAAGTAGAACTGCGTCCAACTGTGGGTGGTAATAACATTCCAGGTGGTGGTGCATGTAAACTACTACTTCTGCTAGGTGCAGGTTGTCCTCTGAGTAAAGGTGGTGGTGCCTTGCCTGTCCTATGACTGGAAACAGGCACGTTACTTCGATAATCGGACGTAAATATATTTTTATTATGCAACATTTATGCAACGAAATTAAATTAGAATATTACCTGTGAGGGGCTGGTTGTACTGTAACCGGAGGAGGTAATTTAGTTGGAACTTTGGGCACAGCAGCAATGTTTTCCTTTAGTTGTTGAGATTGCCTTAATTTTTTCAATAATACCAATTTCATTTCCTCAGATCTAAGATCCTCCCTTAATTTTCTGAGTGTTCTTTCACGTTCTGCCAATTCGTCTGATGATAATTCTTTTATTGGAGGCAAAGGAGGCATATCACCTAGAAATTTTCAATGTGATTAGATAAATATATTTGTGTATGACAGCAACATACAACAGTAGTTCAATATATTAAGTATTGAACTACTGCAACTAAACTGAATAGTGAAACTATAAATAATTATACTATTTTTATAATTAACCTTCATCACTGTCTGCATTTCCATTCACATAACCATTTATTCTACGTTCATCAGGACTTTCTGCATAACTTATTTCAATTCTAGGTCTAAGATTACGGCGTGTTTTCCTATCATCCCCAGACTTAGGAGCCAAAATGCCTCTTGCTGCATTCTGAATGTTACGTGCTTCTGGCATGTTGTTGTCCACATTAGGATTCGAAGAAAAATGAACACCTAAATCTAATGGAACTCCTACATCACCAGAATTAACAGTGATCGATGGAGAATTTCTCCTGCTACTGCTGCTGAAAACACATAATACTTAACGATAAAACTATTAATAAGTTTTAAAATGTAGTAGAAACAATGTAAAACTGTGTACATTAAACAAAAGGTTAGAACTGTAAAGAACTTCACAATCATTGACAACAAAATAATATACTTTCATAAGAACTTTTATTTGACATTACCGATAAGAATCTATTTCGTTTAAAAGTTAGGTTATCATAAGATATTTCCAACACTTTAATTTAACTTCCATGGTTTTTGTAACCAGCCCTAACAATAGCCTTATTTTGTAATCACAAGAAACATAAACAATAGCAACTTAACACTAACATAATTCTCAACCCAGTGCCTAATGTACCTAATAATGAAACTACAAACAACAGAATGTGGGAAAAAGAGAGGGAAAAATATGGAAGTCCCATTCAACCTACACTTACCTAACACTCAAGTCGACAACCGCATCCCCGTCCAAGTCCATGGCTTCCATTCTGTCAAATACAGCAGCTCTGCAAAAAAACACACAGGTGCTTACTTATAAATCACTTTTCTCAGTCAGTTCGCTTCGATTCAATCGATTTGCAACAACGACACGAGCGCATCGTACGCTTGCGAAGAACCAGGGGAAAAAAGGAAACAGGGAAAAGAAAGAGAAGAAAAAGGGCAAAAGAAAGCGTACCGCAAAAGAAGCTATGAGCCTGGCGAGACAGAATCAATTCCGCAACGTCGAACGATTTCAAAGCGAACACGAAAAAGACTTACAGAACCCGCGGAACAAAAATAAATTTCGAGTTACCAAAATCTTTGTTTCATATGCACCGGAGCATCGTGCTCTCCGCTCGTTCCCTTCGCTTATTTACGAGATGTCTCGAACACGGCGTCTTGCGATTCGCAAAGGGCGCGATCACAACACAGGCAGAAGTACAAGGAGCATCCACCACCGGGTAACGAGATCAATTATTCGCACACGATAATGAAATTCGCGCGATGAAAAGGGCCATACTCGTGTGCATGTACAATCGCAAGGCGCATCGGCCGATGTCCACGGAAGCAATGTCCTAACCTAACCTCCCTCCGTGATATTCAAAGCGTTCAAGGAAGAGAGTGTATATCGGTTGCTCGGGATTCGTACATACACAAGATGAGGATATTGGCGCGCTTTGCTCGGCCGCCCGGCAGCACTACGACGATAGTCGCGTGTATGCTCCCCCTTTTGATCTTCTCGCCAGAATTCTCGCCACGAACGAGGAATCCGGTGGCGCGGCACGAAAATCGAAGAATTGAATTTGATGCTTCGGAAGTAGCGTCTCGGCACAATGGCAGCTAAGCGTAGCGGTACAAGACCATGGGGAAGGGGGAGAGGGAGGGAGGGAGGGTGGGAGGGAGTGCGAGGGGGGAGGGGTGCCCTGTACTGCAAGGGGAGAGGTACGGTCGCACATTAATTATTTCTCCTCTCACCCCCCGGCGACGGTCTCTCTACCCCCTACCACACGAGTCAGCCACTCACCCACACGAACATCGGCACCGGCGGGGGAGAAGGAGAGACACAGGGCTAGAAACCAATCTCTCTTTCTCTTTTCCTCTCGCACTCCTTTCTCACACGATCTCTCTTCTCTCTCTCTTTCTCCGTCTATCTGTCTGTCTGTCTGTCTGTCTGTCGATCT